AGACAGACAATGTTGAGCAAAGATGTACACATTAAAAACCGCCATGAGACCAAAGAAGACGAGCAGCTCAATACCGGCTCAGCAGGTACGTTTTCAGACGAGCCATTTCACAGAACCGTCTAGCAAATGTATGTTTGCTGCTCCTTTATTTGTTTTTTGTTTTTTGTCACTGCATGACCGGTTTGATTTATGACTTTGCTCAAAGTATGTGAAACAAACAGCCAGCAGCTGTTCAACAGCAGCTCAAGAGTACAAGGAGACTGAGTCCACAGTAGTCCTGACTTGCAGACATTTTTAGTTACACAGCCAACAAATCTAGTGGGAGGGGGGGAGGGACTATCTTTGAGCATCTTCTGAGGTCATTTCTGTATCGCTCAGCTCCTTGGGGAAGCGTTTCACCTGTTTATCTGCAGAAAGCTTTTCTGTGTTCAAGATTGTACCTTGTCTGCAATTTTTTTTTTTTTACCAGGCAAGCTGTGTGCGGGGATTACATAATCAGAATGTTTTTATTTAATTATTTTTTAAAATAAAAACAGCTGCCTCTGTATGAACATGGTCGCAGTGAACTAGAACAGTCACAATGTTGGCTGTGATACCAGCAAACGTAAGCAAAAGATGCCGACAGGCTTCAAGCAGAAATGAGGTCGACAGCAGGAAAATGACGGGACATTTCATGCAGTCGATACGAGACGGTTGTAATATTTTGTGACACAATCTTACTATGAAACGCAGAGATTTAGCTGTGCGTTCAGAACACTAAAATCTACAACTTCTTCTGTTACCGGTAGATTCAAAGAGATATGTTGAGTTTTGCTCAGTTTTAATAAAACCAAATTATTTTCAAAGCATTTATGGAGTACTATCTCAGAAGAATAGCTAATTACTGGATCAGTAAATGCTGCCCAATTCAATCACCACATTCAGTGCAGTTTAACAGTCTGATAAAATATATTGGTGTTTATAAATCTCTACAGGCTGCAGTAGAAGAAAAATCTCACTGCAATGAATTATAATCAGAAACATAAAGTGGACAATCTGTTAAGTGCATCTCTTACTTAAACCAGGGAATTGGCCACATCTTTGACAATAATATGCACAAGGTTACAAGAGCCTCTATTAAAGTTATGAATAGGAAATTAAGCACCGGTTAGTTTCTGGTTTGAGACTGAGCACTGAGAGAGATGCAAGCTATCTTTCCCTGAGATGTAAGATGAAAAGAAAACCCCTATAATTTGCCAATAAATCCCATCTTTTTTTGTTGCTTACCATTATAAATAGCTGTTTGGTATATTATTACACTGATGGTTCAATAAAGGCATCTGCTTCATGTAATGTGTGAGAAGAGATTGCATGGATAACTATTAGGTTCTCGTAAGTAGTCTGTTGTATCCTTGCAGGGTCGCAGGTGCCTGTCCAACGGCTACTGGATGAGAGGTGGTGTATGCCCCAGTCCATTTCAAGGCAACCTAGAGACACAAAACATGTACTCATGTAACGTATTCCATTAATCTTACAAGCTCATTTTTGAGGAATGGGAGAGAACTGGAGTACTCACACATGGACAAGGAGAACAAACGCCATGCAGCAAGACCCCAGTCCAGTGATCCATGTCCTGGATGACTGAGAACCTATAAATATGTAGGAATTGATTATTTAAGTATCATAACTTAAATTTAAAGGTCAGCAACAGTTTTCTAGAAAAATATTCAAATTTTATTTTGTGGTCTTAAAGGCTCTACGTTGAAGATAGTAAGAAATACAGGCATACTTTATTTATGTACTGCCAGCTGCAGTGGCCCCTCTGCTCTTGGCTCCCATACAGAGCTGTCGGCTAGAGGTAACGCTCAGCCGCTCCAGTTTCAAACTCTTCTTATTAAAGAGTTGGAGAGCTAATAATGATTGGAATATTGGCTACCTTCGACAGGAAAAGGAACTAAGTCTATGAAAGCAATGTAGCAGTTTAGCTAGTTTTGATTTCCAAGGCATAAGGTGGCGGTTTATCATGATTCAGCCAAAGTAATGAACTAACGAACTGTGGACTGATGTTTATTAATGTGTTTCACTCTATTGAGCAGTGGAAGTGAATAAAACGTGTTTCATGTCTTTTGCTTTATGTATTTACTTACTGGAGGTTATTTGTTTGTGCTGTAGAGCCACAGCTAACAGCTAGCTCCTGGCTCTAACGGAGCTTAGCAGCGCAGCTGTTGCTCCTCCTTCACTTTGGACTGAACCATTATTCTAACAATGGGGGTGAGGGGGGAGGACCTAAAAGTTAATTCTTTTTTTTTTCTTAGATGAATGAGAGATTTATTTCGTTCTTTGTTTCTATTGCCTTTATAATATTGATATTGTTTAAATACAAGGGTTGTTGTCATGATTTCTTTGGGGTGGGGGGGGGGGGGTTAAATTTTAAACTTTTTCAAGATTGGGGGGGGGTACTTTGTTTTTTATGCAGTGATAGACAAAATTGATATTGATGATACATAATTCTAATGAACAGGCAAACATTTGTGTACTTGACAGAACTTTTCCAAGTGAGAAGGATCTCTTTAAAATATGACAATAATGAAAACTAAGTGATTTTTCTTTTATATCGATACTAGACTAGAGGTTTAAGTACAATTTTCATACTGGACTACCTTATCATGTAGTAACTAAAATAATATGAAAAATCCCAAAGTGAACTTGACATTCACATATTATTTATATGCTACAGGGATCTGTACGGAGTACTGAGCTCTGTGGGACTCCAGCTGATAAACCTAGAAAATGAGTTTTAATATTTTTATACTTTTCCAGCTTAGAAACGAGACAAAAAGGTAAAAAAACTGTTAAAGTAACAAATAATACAGACTGAAAAATGATGGTGAGTAAATAAGGGGAGAAATAAAAATAAAAAAAAAGCTTAAAATGAAGTTACAGAAAATGATGCAGTGAGAAATATAATCATTTAAATATACACAACCATATTTACATCCCAGATTCTCTCGGTAATCCCCAGCAGAGGGAGTGCAGTTTAAAGCGCTGAGTTTGTCTGCACAGAGCCTTCTTCCTCATTGGTTCCCCATGACTTCAGTGCTGGAGGTGTCTCGGCCAATGGGAGCGCTCCCTGGTTACAAACATCTGAAGTAGTAATAATGTGGAATGTGCTGGCTCGGCATGAGCTGTCAACCAGAGCATGTAGTACTATACCACATGCGGATGGGGGGAGGAGACTGGGCGAGAGGAGGAAGTGGTAAATACTCGGTGACAAAGCAGAAGCTTCGTTGTACTCTGTTAATGTGCGTGTGATAGTAGAGAGCAACATTACCATCAGCTGCTTTATATTACCCAACAGAACTCCACCCTTTCGACTTTTATTACACTTTTGTTTTGTTTGACGATGATTTATTGTTTCATGCAGCTCTCAGAAAGATGCCATCAATGATTATACACTTTTATTGCTTGTACATTTCTTGTGACTATTTTTTTTTTAGACTGTAGTAAAAACATATTTTGATTTTACAAAATCCCTTTTCCATTCCAGCGTTTTAGGCCACGTAACTTTCCCTTACGTGCCTTAACATTGATGGGGAAACATTTTAAAATGAGTGCCAAGGCAAATTTTAATCTTGATAGGGTTGTTTTGTTGCCGTGTGTTGCACAATGCAAATCATTCAGGCTTTTGGGCCGGACAGCCTGTGCTCAGATTACTGGCCCTGTAGTGAAGTTACAGCAGACTAAACACCTGCTTTCCTTTCTACTGGGAAGATGTACAGAATGCATTGGAGGCACTTGGAGAAACACAACCAAAACAGTCTCCCACTGATCACTGTTCATATGTCTCTAGATAGACGGGATGTAATATTTCTATGTGTGTTTGGTGGCTGCAAGAGAGGAGAACCAATTGTGGAAATGATGAAGCATGGGAGTTTACGCAAAGCAGTTAACATTATGTGAAATGACCAAAAAAACACTGGTGGAGCTATTGTAGAAATGAACTCTGGAATCTCTTTCTGGGTGTGTCTGCTTGACTGAACAAACATTCATCCAGGCAGACTTGAGCTGGTTATTCTAAAAGATCTGAGGAAGTGTTTATCTGAGTTTCGGGACCTTCAGATTGAGAAAGAGTCGCATTAAGAAGGTTGAAATACTACAAAGCCTTCTATTGATGTAGCTTTTAATGTGTGTTTTTTTTTGTTTGTTTACTTTTTGTCTCACTTAAATATTTTACATGATCAAACATATTTAAGAACTTATGACGCCTCATTTCTATGATAAGTTCAGGCATAAAACGGCTCCTAAAATCAAGGAAGGAACCACATAACAAAAAAACAAAAAAGGAAAATAAAGCAGCATTTAAATCAGACCTTTGCGTCTGTCTCCTTAATCAGATCTATGAGAGCACATAAAATATATTAACTCCAATACTGAAATTCCTAGAGCTATTAATTGAAAATTAGACAGACAGCTTGAAGAACTTCTGATTAATGTCACATTAAAAAAAAAGAAAAAAAGAAAAAAAAAGGCAAATGTGTTGGACTGTTTAAGGCCAAAGTAATCTTTCAGTCCAGTCAGGCTATGAATCTTTTCATTACATGTATCCATGCTGCTACTATACTGTTCAAACATCTCCAAATTAGCCAGTGGGGCTGAGTTTATTGGACATTATGTCATCTCGTGTTGAGCATTTGCATGCCAGCCTTACTATAACTCAGAGGTTTTATTTGTCTCATATTATTTTGCTACCTTTCTTTAGATCCTTTTGTTTTAAATACCACACATTTCATAACTCGTTTCACAACATCATAGGCAACCTTAGTCATCATCCCTTAATTTTGTGTTTCATTTGTTGTGTTGCAAGAAGGCGGCTCGGCTCGCATGCGGGCGTTGGTGCATCTGGAATGAAGCACTTCATGCAACACTCAGCCAGGTGTGTGGAGCACTTTCGCTAAGATCTTCACTACATAAGAAAGGCCTATGGAGTTTTTTTCTGCAAGTAATAATGCAGCAAAGAAACAAACTAATAATTAAACGCAGAAGAGGAAACTGGCAGCTGCAACATGTTGCTCAAATTAAAACAAAACAAAAAAACAACAACAAAACAAACAATGCCATTTGGAAATTCAAGCACAAGCTTGTATTGAATTGTGGGGGGAAGTGTTGACTGAAATATGATGAATTTATGTCAACTTTACTGCAGAAAAAGAAAGTACGTATTTTGGACACACTCAGATCTAAAAAGTATTAAACTTAAACTTAATAGGGACCCACAGAATTAATTGTAGCGCTTTGGAAACTCTGTGAATTTTTCTAATTTTCTCACGTTATAATTTCAAACATCCGTGTATTTCATTGGGATTTGTAATTGACCACCCAAAGAAGTGAATAATTGTGAATTGAAAGGAAAAGGATGAATGATTTTCACATTTTTTTTCACACAAACATTTGGAAAACTGTGCCCTGCGTTGCTGCTCGACCCCTTTTTTAATCAGATACCTCAAAGTAAAATCTTCTGTGGATTTGACTCATCTGACCACGTTTTTACTAATTCGTGTCATCTAACAGGTAATTGCTCGACCTGCAATAACCATAGTGTTATTATTATAAATACATTTGTCCTGTAACCCCAACAAACGTCTCTCCATTCGTTGGGTTTTGCAGTTTGCAGGTCTAAACCTTCTCAGCTAATAGTAAGTGCTGATAATTTCCCACTTATTCTGTAAGGCAACAAATAAAACACTCCTCCTTTTGGGCACAGCCCATCAGCAGCATCTCTGTCGTCAGGCATAAATAGCTACAGATCATAAGCCAGCATGCAGATAGTGTACTCTGTGAGGGAGCTCTTCCCCACTTATAAACCATGACAGCACACACAGAGCCACTGCAGCCATGATTAATTGATAGTGTTTCAGTGTTATCAGGCCTCTCGTTGCCAGACATCTACAGGACTCGTGGGCTGACGAGACATCAACATCACTGATTCAAAGTTTTTTTTTTTTTCTTTTTTAAAACAAAGGGTCCTTTGAAATGGAGCATTCAGAGGACTTAGTCAGGTGGATGTTCGTGTTCAATTATGCTTGAAGAGCGCAGCGGCGAGGTAACTCTGGATGAAGGAGGGAGATTGCAGAGCTGACAGAGTCAGCAAAAAAGTGTGCAAAGTTTTGCATCGCACTCCTGGATTTGCATCCCAGAATGCCCAACTCAACCTTCACGTCACTTTTTGAAGAGCAGAAAAACCCAGAGAGAGTAAAGGAACGCGTTAAGCCTTTAAAGATTGTGACGGAGAAATCCAAACTCGGTCAGAAATGCACTGAAGTTGCTTGTTCAGCCTTAACCTCAGTGTGTTAACGCTAATGATGGAAGTCAGACGGTGAAGCCTCAGAGGAAGTACTGATCAATAACCACAGCACATTATAAATTATTTAGCTGACAAGAAAAGCATATGGAAGAATTTCTTGAGCCGTCCTCACTTGACTCCGACAGAAACAACCTGATTTCGTTTAAGACTCAATAATTAAATCGCTTGTTTGCAAATAACCAGTTCTTCATTACAATACATCAGACATTCATTTATGACAGTATAGTTTCTCTACCTTGTATGTTTAGCATTGCTGTACATTATAATTATTTTTTTTAAACATATTTCTTTTTTTGTTGTTGTTGTTGTTGTGTGCGTTTGTTTGCCTGTCCCTTTTTCTGCTGATTCTCTTCAATTCCAGAGAAAAATAAAAGATCATCCACCACCTAAAGGGAGCCGGTTCCTTTCTCCAGCAGTCAGGATCATCTGTTCAGGTCTTAGTCCATCACAGGACACTGTTTCTACATTATAACATTTTGTTTTTAGTAATTATGCAATGCTTCTAGGCTTTAAAGATTAATTTTTCATT